AATCTAGGCTCACAATAAACAATTACGTGCATTAATCTAGACGAAAATTGAATTTCAATTTTGCATTTTTTATTCTTTTCCAATCATAAATTCAATTTTATCTTCATAATTCAAGAATTTGAGAAATAATAGAATATAATCAGTTCGCTTTCTCATCTCGTGATTACCTCCGGAATCATTTAAATCAAGAGAATTATTTCCTAATTACGATTTCCCGGAATCTCTATTCGCAATTTCATTAATTAAAGACAAGAAATATGACTATAATACTCGATAAAAAATAAATAATCACAAATAACGAAAATAATAGAGGAATACAGAATAATTCCGTTTGACGACTTAACTTCGATATTATCGTCTAATTGAGTCCCTCAATGCTGTACATTCCCAATACAAAGATATTTGATATCCAGAAAGTCTTCAATTCCATGTGTAGATCCTTCCCTGCCAATCCCGGACTCCTTGACACCCCCAAAAGCAGCCTCAGCACAAGAAATGATCCCCTCATTAACCCCAATCATCCCCACCTCGAGTTTCTCAGTAACTCGAAAAATCTGTGACAAATCCTCAGAATAAAAATATCCAGCGAGTCCAACAGGAACACTATTAGCCATTTTAACGACATCCTCTTCAGATTTGAACCTGTGAATAACAGCAACAGGGCCAAATATTTCCTTTCCATAGATCTCCATGCTCTCATCAACATCAGTCAAGACAGTTGGAGCATAAAACAGCGGCCCAAGATTATCCAATCGTTTCCCGCCACAATGTAATTTTGCTCCCTTCTCCAGAGCATCATTCACCAAACACTCAATAGTTTCCACTTGACTGGATTTAATTAAGGGCCCATGAGTGATGCCCTCTAAGCTTCCATCCCCCATTTTAATTTCTCCAGAAATTTTCTCCTTGAATTTCTGGAGAAACTCATCAAACCGTTTGTCATGGACATAAAATCTATTGGCAGACACACAAGTTTGTCCTGTATTCCTGAATTTGCTGGCCATTGCTCCAGCAACAGCGAGATCCATATTGGCCTTCTCGAAGATGATGAAAGGAGCATTTCCTCCCAGCTCCAGACCAATTCTCTTGACAGTGGACGCACATTGGTTGTACAGAATTTTTCCAACAGCAGTGGATCCAGTGAAAGACAGGGCTCGAACGTCAGTGGATTCGCAGAGTAATTTACCAACGACTGCTGAATTTTTTGGACTCGTCGTGACGATGTTGATGACTCCGGGTGGAAAACCAGCGTCTTCCGCGAGTTTACCGAGGGCTAGAGCAGTGAGTGGAGTATCCTCTGATGGTTTTATGATACAAGTGCAACCAGCAGCAATTGCAGCACCAGCTTTACGGGTTATCATAGCGTGGGGGAAATTCCAGGGTGTGATAAGAGCTGCAACGCCTATTGGTTGTTTCAGAATAAGGAGTTTTCGGTTGCGCACGGGGGCCTGGAGAACTTCACCGTTTATTCGACGTGATTCCTCGGAGAACCACTCAACGAAGGAATTCCCGTATTTTATCTCGGCTCGGGACTCGGCTAGACTCTTCCCATTTTCTTTTGTCAGAATTTCTGCGAGTTCTTCAGAGCTCTGGAGCATCAGGTTGTACCAGCAACGGAGGAGATCACTTCGTTCCTTTGCTGTTGTTGTTCGAAACCTCTGGAAAGCTTTTTTTGCTGCGTCGATCGCTTGGGTCGTGTCCTCCACTGACATATCAGGTACTTCGGTGATGATCGAGTTGTTCACTGGATTGCAAACTGCGAAGGTCTCCCCAGTGGATGCTGGCACCCATTTTCCGTTGATGTAACCTTGACTCTTCAGTAGACTCATTGAACGGACAATCCTTGATGGGGTTGAACTGACGTGGAGAAGACGAGGTACTGAGAACATTGCTGATTTCTTTTTACTGGACCTTCAATGTCGAATTGTAGAAATAGTTTAATATATTTAGGAATCATCAATTCAAATTATTGTATTCTCAATTTTTTATTAAAGTATTTAAACATTGATAAATAAAATATTTGGAAATTACTCGATTGTCAAACTGTCAAGTGTCATTTCTCGAAAAATAAAAAAACGTAAATAATGCAGATAAATAGCTCATGATAATTAAATAATTATCAACAAAGCCCTTATGATTGTAGAGTCACTCTGTCATCCCAGGAAGATATTCCAGTCTTTATTCCTATTACTCCGATTTTAATAAAAATGTCTTTATATTTTTCTCTATATATTTTTTACTTACGAAGATTAAATATTTTTCGAGACTTACTCGCCTCTGAGTTCTCTTGATTCCAATTGTCGAATGATTTTAATATCCTCTGATTGTGATTCAACTTGATGGGGGGATGAAGTGAGAGATGGGGAAGTGGCTGTCAACCTTGGGATTTATTCATTTACTATTCTAGGTGGTACCATTTATATAGTGCACCAGCTGATGTCGCCCTAGTCTCGGTGCTCTCGGTGTAAACAAACATTTATCAATTAATCAACAATATTATCTTACTCTGCCAATATTGAGGTAATAAAATATTGTTGACGTTTGTCGTCTCGGGAATATGAATAATACTAAGAGAACGATTTATGTGGGTGAGTGGAACGATTCAATTAAATTTATCCCAAACTGTTGCTAACCTATAATAATTGTATATTCTTTTTTTTTAATTATGTAGTTTATCTGGAAGATTATCAGACATCACTTTGTTAAACAAATATTTTCATTGATTTTATTTTTTTTATGCAAAAATTTTCTGGTTCTGAAAATTGGAAAATTTTATGAAAAAAATTTTGCGGTTAAATGCATGATAAAATCATTTGTTATTAATTATCAGAATGGAAATAGAATTAATTTATAGAAATAGTGTAAAAATAGTTTTAGTCATGGAATTGAAAGACAATTAATAATGTCGGTTATGGATTTAATTATGTATTAATTTAAATGGTTTATTTGCAGGTGGTCTTGCTGAGGAGGTGGATGAGAAAATTCTCCATGCTGCATTCATTCCATTCGGTGAAATAGTTGATGTTCAGATACCCCTTGATTATGAATCAGAAAAACACAGGGGTTTCGCTTTTATTGAATTTGAATTGGCTGAGGATGCATTGGCCGCGATTGATAACATGGTAACAACAATTTTATTTCGAGTTAAAAAATATAATTGATAAGTACATTTTCGCGAGATGAGTTTTTCGCCGATATTTCAGAATTGAAGTAAGATAACGATTTGTTTGTACTAACATTTTTTATAGAAAAAGATGAGAGCTAGAAAAAAGATGTCTATGAAAATATCGTTATCTCTCTTGAATTTTGAGATATCGGGTAAAATCGGATTGGTCAGGTTTTTTAAGGTTCGAAAAATCTGGGACAAATCGGAGTAAAAATATCCAGGTAGGGCAGATCTCCAGATTTTTTTTCGTATCTTTCAGAATGATTCTGAATTATTTGGGAGGACAATACGAGTTAATATTGCCAAGCCCCAGAGGATAAAGGAGGGCTCATCGAAGCCAGTGTGGGCTGATGATATGTGGCTGCAAGAACATGCTGGGGAAACCCTCAGCAACGATGAAGGAGTCAAATCCGATGTTCCAGCGACGATAAAGGAAAAACGTAATCCCCAGGTTTATTTCGATATAACCGTTGGTAAACACGAGTTGGGGAGGATAATCATGATGCTGAGAGCGGATATAGTCCCCAGAACGGCCGAAAATTTTCGGTGCTTGTGTACCCACGAAAAAGGATACGGATATCAAGGGAGTACGTTCCATCGAGTCATTCCAGACTTTGTATCCTTTATTAAATCATCATATTAATTTTATATCTCAATTCCAAGAGTTAATCAATTTTTCATTCCACAGTTTTGTCTTCATAATTGAAAGATTATTATTATTATTCACCATAAAAATTTTAATTTCGATAAAATATTGAAATCCTTTCTTCACA